CAGAGAATGTCTTGGGACAGAACCTAAAAGTAAATAAAAATTCTCTTGCAACAATGAAGAGTCATTGGCTCGAATAGAAAAGCAAAAATAATTGAAAAAAATATCTTCTTCCCCAGTCACATGACTGACTCTTTTAGCTGCAGTGCATTAAATTCAGTCCAAATGAAAGCATGCGCTACCTGTGGGATACTTGTGGGAGTTCCAATCGCAGCCAGGATAATGATGATGCTCTAGAGAGGGGTCTATGTAGAGGAGGGAAGGGAGAAATACTGGCTTAGATGTAGCTGTGTGTGGGTGCTCACCATGTCAATCCACCAAACCCACATGCAATCAGACACGAGTCAGACACCCTTTGAAGTAGAAAGGGTGATGGCAGACAGCAGCCCACTCCTGCTCAGCTGCCTGGAATAGAAGAGAGCCCTGGAGGAACCATGGAGGAAATAAGAACCCAGACTCTATGTGCCAGGTTGCCACGCACACAGACGCCCCCATCACCCAGCTCCTTAACCAGTGCCTTAGCTATGGGTTATAAATGCACGATGAATTAAAATTTTAGAGCATTATACTTAACCTTCTAGAGCACAATGCCTTCTGCTGAGGATATATTTTTTTGGTTGGTCATGGGACTTGAACTCTGGGTTTGGGCGCTATCCCTGCACTCTTCAGCTCAAGGCAGGTGCTCCACTGCTTGAGCCACAGCACCACTTCCGGTTTTCTGGTGGTTAATTGGAGATAAGAGTCTCACGGACTTTTTTGCCCAGGCTAGCTTTGAACCATGATCCTCAGATCTCAACCGAGGATATTTTTTTGAAAGTATGAATCAGCTAGTCACACAGTTTAATTAATGTTCATTCAAACCCAATGGGGACCTCTCTCCACTTGAGATCATGCCAATTGCTTATTGAATTGAAGTCATATCAGAACTGGTTGCAACGATTTGCCATAACTAATTCAAAGCAATTGTGCTTTATGAAAGTAGCTGTTTCTAGGAATAACTTCCTGTCTTTCCAGTCATCACGCCTTAATACAATAGGAAAGCAACTAAGCTCGTAAAACACGCACAACTCTGGGGCCAGGATATGGGGATCATGTGCAGACAAGCTGGGTCATGGCTCCAAGGCTCAGCCCATTTGGAAAACAAGGGAGGGAAGAAGACATCTGGACCCAGAGAGCCTGAACATCTGTGGCCCTTTCTTTCTTCATCATTGGATGGGGAATGTGTGAGTATCATCTTATGTGGTTGTTAGGTTGATGCCATTGATTCGTGTAAACCAGCTGCATAGTGCCTGGCACACTGTAATCTGTAAATCCCTGATGAAGAAAATAAAATAGAGCCAAAGGTTTGAAGATGTGTGTGTGTATGTGTGTGTGTGTGTGTTGTGCAGGAGAGAGAGAGAGAGAGAGAGAGAGAGAGAGAGAGAGAGAGAGAGAGAGAGAGAGAGAGAGAGAGAGAGAGAAGGAGGGAAGGAGGGAGAGGGAGAGGGAAAGGGAGAGGAAGAGGGAGAGATGTAGAGTACTAGGGTTTGAACCTCAGGGCCTGGGCACTGTCCCTGAACTTCTTTGCTCAAGGCTGGCCCTCTAATATTTGAGCCATACCTTTACCCAATTGACCAATTGGAAATAAGGGTCTCATGGACTTTCCTGTCCAGGCTGGCTTTGAATTGTGATCCACAGAGGTCAGCCTCCTGAGTAGTTAGGATTATAGGCATGAGCCACAGCTGCCTGGCCTGAAGAATTATTTGAAGGTAGAAGGCAGCCCTGAGCAGACCTCCAGTGGGAGCTCTTCCTATCAGAACACTACAGACATGGCAACCATCAGGCAGCTAAAATAGAGATACACTGCATCTTTGCTTAGTAAGCTCAACAGGAGAGTGATTTGGTGAAATTTTTCCTTGTCCCCGTGACTCAGCTTCTATTTACCACTCTTTCCTGCTCGTATCCCTTCACACTATTTGTGCTTCCCATTCCATGATTACAGAAAACTAGACAGAGAATGTGAAATAATACTATGGGTTAGAAGAGTAAACATATCTCTGAGCAGAATATTCTAGAGGTAAAAGAGGACTTCAGGCAAGGTGTGCTTGTGGCTCATCCCTAGCTACTCTGAAGTCTGATATCCGGAAGATAAGAGTTTTAAAGCAAGCCTGGCAGAAAAGTTCAAGTCTCTATCTCTAACCAGTAAAAAGCTGGACTTGAGGCATGGCTCAAATGCTAGAGTACTAGCAATGAGCAAGAAAGCCAACAGAGCGTGTGAGGCCCTGAGTTTAACCCTGACACCAGCAAAATGGCCTTATCTTGTTGATACCTCACAGACTCTGAACATTATCAGAGAGAGTGCCACAATAAATCAAATCATTTTCTGTTTCTATTTAGGAAGCCCCTTGCCAAAATTATAAAGGCCAATTGATTTTATTTAAAATAGGAACTAAAGTCAAATTTAGGCAATTTTGAAGTATAAAGCAAATTCTTACAGAACTACCAATAACAACAAAATGTTTTCTACTTATGCTCCAATGAGTTTCAGAGACTTGCTGGGAATTTTCATTACTCTAGTATTTGTGTGCTTGCCTAGTCTGAGGTATTTTGCATATGTGTATCTAAATATAACAGGTCTCTTTTTCATAGACACCCACACAGCCTATAAATGCCTTTCAGTGCTTATATAAATAGATATGTTCTTCTTTAAAAATAAGGATGTACTGACCAAAGTAGCTTCACAGAAATGAGTTGTCATCCATTGGAAGCAGGGGGAGAAAATATAATTTGGCCTAACTAGCGATAATAGTTAAATCTAGTATTAGGAAGACAATGTAAGTTTGATTACATTTTTACACTTAACAATTTTATGTGGATAACATGTATATTTTATAAAATAGGGGATATAGGTTAGGAATATGTCTGTAAACCTAGCTTCTCTGGAGGATGAGAACAGAGAATCCTGGTTCAAGGCCAGCCTGGGTAGAAAGTTAGACCTTATTCAAAAGGGCTGGAGGCATGGATCATGCTGTAGAACACTTGTCTAGCAAATGTAAAACCCTTAATTCAGAACTCCAGTACTATAAAATGGTGGTGGTAGATGAGAGAATATAAATGTACCCAAAAATATAATATCAAATATTAGTTGTACAAAACAGTGGGTTTAACTATGACATTTTTACATATACACATAACATGTAATAACAATTAGAACTACTGGTGAAGCTATGCTTGAAAAGTCTTCCCCCAAACTGCATGGCCTGAGAGAATGAGAATACTTTTAGAAGAATCTTCTTCTTAAAGCTAAACAATGAAGAGAACATGGAGAGAAAACAACACAGAGAACAAAGAAGCAGAGATCTGCTGTACACTGGTGGCTCACCCTTATAATCCTATCTACACAGGAGGCTGAGATCTGAGGATCATGACTGAAGCCCACCAACAAACACCAGAGACTCTTATCTACAATTAACCAGCAAAAACAACCCTCAGGAACTGCAGGTTTTTCTCATGTGGTAGAGCTCCACCCATGAGCAAAAAAGCTGAGCAAGTACAAGAGAAACAAATGGAACAGAACCAGGGGTCAAAAGACGAGCATCTGAGCCACCTGACCTTTCAGTCCTTGTGTGACCTTGAATATCACCAGCCTCAATCTGGACACCTATCAAAGCACTAAAGGCCCTCACCAGCGTGGGGTCACAGCCATTTCTGTCAGGCCTCCCTGGCCAGGAACTCCCCTATAGCTGTCATCACTTCCTGGCCCTCAGAAAGTCCTCTTTTATCATTAGACCAAAGCATTCTTCCCAATGATTTGCTAATGCATTTTCATAGACATCCCTCCTTGAAGACTGGCTATTCCTCCCCAAGGCAAGCTCACCTTCCCAACAACTTGCTTCTCTTGTATTTGAGGCAGGGTAAATAGGAACTAGGAAAGATCTGCCACCCACTGGGGTCAGGATCATGCTTGCTGGATGCTGCCCATCCCACCCAGGCCACTGTCACTGAGTCATATCAACTTATACGCCAAGTCTCCGGTCACAGCACATTAGCAAGTGCTTTGGTCAGAATTTGTGTGTGTGTGTGTGTGTGTGTGTGTGTGTGTGTGTGCGTGTGTGTGTGTGTGTGTGTGTGTGTGTGTGTATGTGTGTGTGTTGGGGCTTGAACTCAGGGGCTTGAACTGAGTAGCTAGGATTATAGACATGAGCCACCAGTGCCTGGCTGGGAGAGGTTATTTTGCTCATTACCTCCTTCAAAGGACAACATACATTAACAGTACAGTCAAATGAACCAATGTCAGAATTCCGCCAAGTGAAAAGGAATTATTTAATGATACTAGAAATCACCCCACTTGTACTTTAAGTGAATGAAGATAGTGATTTTAACACAAATAGCTGCCAAATGTTCTCCCATCTGACTACAGATGAGCTTTTTCTTTTCTTTCTTTTTTTTCCTTTTTTTGGTGGTCCTTGGGCTTATGTTTACTAGATAAATATCTATCACCTGAGCCAGACCCTCAAGCCCTCTTGTCCTTTAATTAGTTTTCAAATAGGTCTCACTTTTTTTTTTTTTTGCCCAGAACTGGCCGTAGACTCTTCTTACCTCCAGCCTCTTACATAGTTGGTATCTCAGGCACATGCTAGCATGCCCAAGTTATTAGTTGAAATGGAGTCTTGCATATTTTTCTCCTTCTGGCTTTAACCATGATACTTCAGATCTCTACTTCCCTCCTGAGTAACTGGTATTACAGACTGAGCCACTATGATTGGCCTCATATAAGCCTTTTCAATCAAATGTTTTATAATTATTTCTCCTTCACTGGCTGTCAAAATGGGCAGCCTGGTACCTGATTCTATTTACATCTTTTTGACATAATGAAGATGTTTCTCTCTGCTTGGGTTGACGCATGAGGTATCAGTTGACTATTGAAAATGTCATAGTTAGGACTCGTCTCTGCGCTACCTAGCTGGCCTCTGCCTGAGCTACCTCTGAACAAAAAGGTTTGTGTCTCTGGTCACCATACTTACTGCTAGAGCAGGTGGCTTCTTTGGGGCTGGAAGACATGGGCTGTGCACAGAGTTGACACAAGCAGTCTCTCCCATTAAACGTGACTCGGTCTCCTGGTGGGAACGGGCGTCTAGAAGCAGAAAGATACCAGCCTCAAGGTTATTCCAGCCATCCCATTCCTTTCCCTACATCCTGGTACTTGCTGCCCTTTAGAGCAAATGCATTTCTTGGAGGAGCACCAGGCAAATGCCTGAGATGGAGTCATGCCCCAAATGGCCAGCTGGACACAGGCCAAACAAATACATGTGCTTCATCATGAGCAGGGAGAGAATGTGCTGGTTTTTTAGGCAACCTGATAGTGGAATGGGAGATTTCCCTTCCCACATGAGTGGAGAGAGGGCCCAACGATCATCTAGCCCGGCGCTTAGAACAGTGCATTTCCAAATGGAAAATCTTTATGAAGAAACGTTTTAAATGCCATGAATTCCGAGCAGAGCTCAGGATTTCTCCCCAGGGGACCTGGTTATAGCCAAGCACGAATTCTCCCCATTCTCTGAGCTCTGTAATAATGCTGCTGAGTTAGATCCTGTCCTCCCTGGATAGCTGAATGTGGTGCAGTGTTGCGGACCAAGCCCTGTATCTCCGCTGCAGCCCAACCACAGCTCTGAAGGATATGTAAGCAAATGCATCGGCTAGGTGCCAATAAAACTTTATTTAAAAAAACAACAGGTATTGTAGGTCACAGCTTGTCTACCTCTGCTACAGAGTAAAAGTACTATTTTATTTATTTGAAACAGTCTCAGGCTGATCTTGAACTCCAGAGCCTCCCAAGTACTGAATCTATGGGTGCATACAACTTTACTTAGCTAGAAGAGATTATTTAATTTTTTTTTGTCAATCCCGGGGCTTGAACTCAGGGCCTGGTTGCTGTCTCTGAGCTCATTTTTTGCTCAAGCTAGCACTCTACCACTTTGAGCCATAGCTCCACTTCCAGATTTCTGCTGGCTAATTGGAAATAAGAGTCTCATTGACTTTCCTGCCTGGGCTGGCTTTGAACCGTGATCCTCAGATCTCAGGCTCTTGAGTAACTAGGAATACAGGTAAGAGTCACCAGCACCTGGTTGGGGAAAATATTTTCAACACACATACACACACACACACACACACACACACACACACACACACAGGCAAAACACTTTCTTTTTATCTCAAATAATCTTCATCCTTCTAAGCAGCTGTCCATATCCCTCCAGGTTTTCAATCATTAATCAAAACCTTTTGAGACCTGCAGGGACTGTCAGACTCGGTGTTCAGCCATACAAAACCAGCCATGTAATGAGGTCATTTGTAGGAAAAGACATAGAACTGCCAACCATTGTGTTGAGCGAAATAAGCCAGACTTAGAAAGACAATTGCGTGTGTTCTCTCATATGCAGAATCTAGATGTTTCCAGGAGATCAGAAAATTGAAGGGGGGCTATTTGGAGGGAAAGGAGTCCAGCAGTAAAGGAAGGCGGGGCAGGAGAGGTAATGAGGATTAAGTCTGACTGAATGCATACATGAGGATGTCATAAAGAAACCCAATATTTTATACTAACAACATAACATCAGCCACATCCCTTTGTAGAGAGGGTCATGTAGGTGTCCCAAGGAGATTCCATTTTGGCAGAGAATGAATACAGATGAGGAAGAGACACATCTACAAAGAGGTACCTTACAGCTCACGACCAAAGAAGCTCTGGTGAAGATGATCACTTACTTGCAGATGGTACAAGCAAAGCAGTTGGGATGGTACGTCTTGCCAAGGGCGGTCACCACCTCGCCTTCCACAAACTCTCCACAGCCATGACAGCGTGTCCCATACATCCGCTGGTAGTCCAGGGTGCAGAGATATTCCCCGTTCTTTATGAAGAAGCCGCCCTGGGCCAAGTCACAGCCACACACTGTAGAAAGACAAGTGTACATCTGGTGATTTCATCTGCCCAGCTGTTGGGCAGCATTTGCCTTCTACTGAATGCTGGCTGCTCACTGTGATCTCAATGGTTTGGGGTAGGGGAGGGGACTTGGTACAAAGAGCTATTTATTGTTGGGGCTCTGCCTTCTCTCTCCCTCCCCTTGGCAGGCCTGAAATACTTCATACAAGTCAAGTCCACTGGCTGGGTCTCAATGGCTTCTGTGGTATGCTTAAGACTCAGAGGTAATTAGTTTTTGATGGAAAGAGATGGTGGATTCAGGCTGTCTTAGACAACAAAGGGGTCCCTGGCAGCGCCTTAGGAAAGGTGTTTGTTGCTCGCCCACACAACTGCTTGGTTTGAGCCCAAATTGTTACTGAGTTGAGTAACAAATTCCCACTCTACCCAAAGCAGTAACTAGAATTTCCAGTAGCTATTTATTTATTTTTTCACAGTCTGGAAATAATTTCCCATGGCTATGAGGATTTCAGACATTGAATTTTCTCTTTGGGTAGCGATAGAACAGGCCAACTATTTATATATTGCATAGTGGGGTAAGAACAGGCAAAAGAAGCAAGGAAAGAAACAATATTTGAGAGAAAGCTTTCTCTACAATCACAGTGCATACAAAAGCAAATGCTTTTTTGTGTATCTGGCATTTAGTATCTCTGTTGCAAAGCTGCACACAGCTGTGGATTACAGGAATGGTTCACACAAGCAGGTCCTGGGATGCATGTTCAGACAAGGCCCAAACAAGTCATGGCAACTCGTCCACAAATAAAGCCCAGATTAATCCCCCAACAGCAAAAATTTCCTACTGTCAAATGACTGGGAACAACCACCAAAGCTGGACATCTTCAACCTTGACCTTTCTATCCCAAGGTTGGGTAGCTCTACACAATAAAGAAAGAACCTTATACAAAGAACCCAAGGTATTTTTTGAAGGGGGTAAGGCAGGACTGAGGTTTGAATTCAGCACCTGGATGTTATCTCTTAGCTGTTTTTCTCATAGCTGATGCTCTACCACTTGAATCACAGCTCTGCTTCCAGTTTTTTGGTGGTTAATTGGAGATGAGTCTCAGGGACTTTTCCTGAGAATCTTTTGGGTTAGCTTACAGCATGATTCTCAGAGCTCAGCCCCCTGAGTAACTAGGATTACAGGCATGAGCCACCAGTGCCCCGCCCAGGCCCTGTGCTAGTAGAGGAAAAGGCTGAATTCAATCACAAAATTCAATCACAGGGTTCCTCTGACTGGTTCTCATGACTCATCAGTATGTCTAGTGAACTATTGCTGCATACAGCAAGACCTATTGGATTTAAAACCCCTGCCCCAGTAATTAAAGATACTCAAGGTGACACAGAAGTCACAAACAAGCTTTTCACATGGACTCAACGGTCTTTGTCTAGACAAACTCTCCAGAGCTGCTTCTTTGCAATGTATAATGAAGTAACCCAAGATTATGGCTGACATGGACCACCTACAAATACTTCTGTAATTATATTCTCAAGAAAGCAGCTTGCTTAGCCTTGCTGCCCCTCTGCCCTGCCAGTGTTTCCTCCTCTACCCCTCCCACCCCCTACCCCCACCCCCGCCAGAGAATGGCATCTGCTTCTCTCTTACCGAGTGGGTCATGTGGGGAGCCCAAGGATGAGGACCAACCTCATTCTGGCTGCAGATTCCTTCAGCAACATGAAACAATCAGAAACCAGGCCTGCTGGCTCACGCCTGTAATACTAGCTACTCAGAAGGAGGCTGAGAACTGAGGATTGTAGTTCCAAGCTAGTCTGGGCAGGAAAGTCTGTGAGATCTTATCTCCAATTAACCACTAGAAAACTGGAAGGGTGCTTGTGGCTCAAAGTGGTAGAGCTCTAGCCTTGAGTGAAAAAGCTCAGCGACAGTGCCCAGGCTCCATGACCGAAAAGAAAGAAAGAAAAAAGTGAAAAAAGAAACAATCAGAATGGAGAGGGTCACAAAGCACCTTAAGTGAGCTGACTTCAGTATTTTTACACGTACCTGCTCTTATTTTCCTACGTGTTATTTTCCTACTTTATGGACAAGAGCCTTTATCTGTATTCTTTCTGAGTTCCTTTTTCAAGGACCTTCTAACCATGGTAGCTAATACCTGAAACATAGTTTATCATCATCATCATTACTATTATTGTTTATTATTATTATTAAACTTAGTCCTACCTCAATTTCACTTCTCAGAGATATCAGCAGTTCCGATGACTCAGTTACTCTTTAAAAGTTAGGCTTTGCACAAAGAAGTGATAGGATAACTAGTCATTCCTCTCTTCTGGTCACCAAAGCTAGGTCTAAAAGTTTACAGATCCTCTAATGAAAAGATATGATGGCCACAGGATAATATTGTTTTTGTTTTTTTTGTCGGTTGTGGGGCTTGAACTCAGGGCCTGGGCACTTCTCTGAGTTCTTTTTGCTCAAGGCTAAAACTCTACCACTTGAGCCACAGCATCACTTCTGGTTTTCTTGTAGTTAATTGGAGATAAGAGTATCATTATCACAGACTTTTCCTGCCTGGGCTGGGTTTGAACTGTGATCCTCAGATCTCAGCCTCCTAAGTAGCTAAGATAACAGGCATGAGCCACCAGTGCAACAGGACAGTCTTAATGCTGATACAGATTACTGAGGCCATTTCAAAGCTATCACTGAATGTTTTATTAGTGTGTTTTATTATTGTGACCTCAGGATACCTCTGTGAGGCTTTCTCTGGTTCACATATCTTCGTGAAAGTGACACATATTCTCCTTTATTAAATCGTAGTTTTTATGAACCTAGCACAGCCTTACCAAATGACTTCATGGCACTTTGAGAAATGCTACATTGTGTCCCACTGGGGTTTGATTTGGCCTTTCCTTACATTTCAAGAAGTGGCCCAGCTCGGCTTACCAAATGACTACATTACTTCTAGTAGTTTAGACAACAAACAAGCACGTGTTTAGAGAGGCAAGAATCACAGCAACAGGAGCCCATACCAAAGAGATTCTTGGTCTCATGGTATTTCCTGAGACTGGATGGCTGTGACATGGTTTCAGACTCTTTCTTCTTTTGCGTTCCCTGCTTCTCCTCTGACTACTCTTCCTCCTTGAGGGCCCTAGTTGCAAGTAACTCCCACAGACACACTCTCCTTCCTCTATTATAACTAGCCTCTCCTGGGGAAGGTCTCTCACATCTGTGACAAATCAGCATTTTCCAAACAGGTCTCTCTTCCTCTTTCTTTCTCTGTGTAACCTCCTTCTTCTGCATGTGCACATACACACACACAAAGAAGTTTATGCCATTTCTTTGTGCTTTCTCTCTCAGTACATCAGTGGCAGCAAGAGTGGGAAAATTCTCACTCTTACACCAACTTTGTCAACTAGCCATTAAGTCCAATCCCATAGTTCTTATATTGGCAGAAAAAGAAACCACACACACACACACACACACACACACACACACACACACACGCACACACGCGGAAAGAACCTGAATTTCTACCTGCTTAGTCTGTTATAGTATGTAAAATGTATGGAGCTGACATATAAAACCCAGAGTGTTGTCTGTGGTATATTATTGCATGCAAAGAACAAGTGTCACAAAATGAAAATTGCACTAATAAGGAAGTTTAGAAAAGTCTACCTATAATTTTAGGGACAATGAAAAGGGAGCTCACCTAAATAGGATTGTGATGTTGGCTCTTTGTCCCATGCTATTCATATAATGTAAAACTGACCATCTTAATCATTTCAAATGGATAGTCAGTGGCATTAAGAATATTCACATTGTTAAAATACCTATACCATCCAGCTACAGCACTCTTGTCATCTTACAAAACTCTGAATCCAACAATAACTCCCTGTACCTCCTTCTCTCCAGCCCCTGGCAAGCCTGTTTCATCTGGCTGTCTCTGAATCTGACTGCTGTAGGTACCCTGTATCAATGTATACTCACCTTTAATCATACTAAGATGTAAAGAAAAATCATTCAAAATGTGGCAACCAGGTAAAGGGAAAAAACCTCAGTTCTTCAGTATCACACAGAAGCATAATATTGAGCAGCTCACATGGATGCTTGCATTACCCAGGGGGGCTTGATCTGTGTTTGACAAGCTCTTTTCTTGTTGATTAAAGGCCTAATTACTGTTCACGTTACCCAGTGAACAGAGATGTAGATGGTTTCTGCCCAGTTTCACCATTCCGTTGGAGCACAACACAGCTTTTGTCTTACTCCAATAAGTGGCTCTGACATCCTTCTTTCAATATCTCTGCAACCCATTCCTTTTAGTTCTCTTCCTTCCTCCCTTCCCCTGCCCTCTCTCTCTTTTGTTAGTTGTGGGGCTTGAATTTGGGCCTGGGCACTGTCCCTGAGCTACTTTGTACTCAAGACTAGCGTTTTACCACTTGAACCACAGCACCACTTCTGGTTTTATGGTGGTTATTTGGAGATAAGGGTCTCATGGACATTCCTGCCTTGCTGGGGCTGGCTTCAAACCATGATCCTCAGATCTCAGCCTCCTAAATTGCTAGGATTACAGGTGTGAGCCACTGACACCTGCCTCCTTTTTGTTCTTTTAAGCAGTGTTGCTGTCCTGCTGATTCCTCTACTTATAATGAGTGGAATCAGTCTTTGACCATGCTCATTCTGCATCTAAGTGAGAGTCACAGGCTTAACTTTTTGAAAATTATTCTCTGACCAAGTTATTACTCTTTTAACCAAAATTATTTTAAGTGTGAGGCAGGCTGGGTGTCAGTGATTCAGGCCTGTAATCCTAGCTACTCAGGAAGCTAAGACCTGAAGGATCAAGAGTCAAAGACAACTTGGGCAGAAAAGTCTACAAGACTCCATCTGTAATTAACCAGCAAAAAGTCAAGCTAGAAACATGGTTCAAGTGGTAGAGTTCCCACCAGGAGCAAGCAATCTGTGCAAGGCCCTGGGTTCAAGCCCTGGTACTGGAAAAAAAATTAAGGTTATCATTTTACAAAGTAAAAGC